TCTCAAGGTTGGGAGCCAAGTTGATGCATAGCTAGGTGCATGAAGGTGGCCCCTACATACAAGTTCTGATGCCTCCAGGTCCCCAAGACAGTGTGCTCCCAGCAGTTGCTGCTCTTGTCCCCTGCCCAGAAGTGACACAATATGGTATGGAAGTGGTCCCACAGCAGCCCAGACTCCATGCTGTCCTGTAGGGCGTTGTCACCAACCACATGGATGTTGGCGGAAAAAAGCAAGGAGCAGACCTCAAGAATGAGCCTTCCCAAGGCCTTGGTCCTGTTGGCTTGCACTTGCACACTGAAGCATGCCAACTTCTACACAAGCTGGAGGAACACACTGAGCAAATGCTGGAAGACCATAACTCTCCACCTAGAGCAGTATAGCAAGGACATGACCTCCCAGCACTAACCAAGCAGACAGTTGCATGAGCTAGAGGCAAAGATCCGTTCCGGACTTGGGAGTATAACTGAGTATATAAGCTTTCTGGAGAGGAAACTGCCTGGCCAGGTGTGCGGGTAGATCTGCACTCCCAGCACAAGGGCTGGCAGGTGATCCATGGGCAGACTGCTAACCAGTGCTTTTCTCTATGCTTGGCTGTCCTCAGGAACCGTCAGAGACTGGGCCCCTGTAAGACCCGCTGGGATGCCTACACAGTGACCCTCTGGCTCATGTGCTCCCACTCAGCATTTTCAGGTTCCATGCACTCAAACCCTGTAATGTCTGTCTACCCCAGGTGCTCTAAATTTCTGTGGTGTACAAAATTCAGTGGCATCAGGAGCACTGCAAATATAATATTTGTCCAGTCAGCAAAACTCTGAAAATAAAGTGGTTTTTACCCTCATGCACTGGCACTAATGGAGCTTCTGTCCTTCTGAAAGCATTTTAGTTGTCATCAATTCTTTTGCTGCACACCCTGCTTGGAGTCAGGAAACTTTTTGCACCAAACAGGCAGTGGCTGGCAATTGCCTCAGCGGTAGCAAGGACTGTGCATCTGCAGTTCCTACAGGACTGCAAGCACCCAGCCTATTCAATGCAAGAACTCTTGCTCAACAAGAATTATATCACCTATGCTGGCTCATCATGCCTAGAGAAACATTTGGTGGCTTAGATATCCCAGCTTTGTGAACATAACCCATTAACAAGGAGAATCCCCTTACAAACATCTTAAAACAACTCAATTCCTAGCACACAATTTAACAGACAAAATATATACCAGGAACTCGCAGGGTGCCAGGCCCAAAAGTGATCTTTTCTTAACTATCTTTAAAATGGAAAAGCATTCATATATTTGTCTGCAGAACAACAGGAACGATGTAAAGACCTCCTGAAGTTCACAAGAGTTATTCCATCAATTTGAAACAAGTCCCTTGAGAAGATCTCTGCATGGCTCCAACCCAAATATAAAGGAACTGTAACTTTGAAATGTTGAGGAACTAGAAATACCGCTTTGAAATTGGAAGCAAGTAATTGAGAATAAACAAAAGCAAGTTAATCTGAAATGCAAATTTATAGCAGCTGATAAATGGAAGTGCTCACCATCAGAGACAGTAGGAGCATGAATTAACAAAGTATCGATACTTAACCAACTGCTTTGCATTGAAAAAGACGCTGAAACAAACATTTTAGCAGTTGTCTTCTCAAAATCACTCCCCATCTCCAGATATATAGCATTGTTAGCAGGTTTAGAAGCTCCCTTAAGGAGAAATATTTAAAAAACTAGACAAACTACGTAATAGTCGGGGTGAAAAACGTTACTGGCAGAACTAATCGCTCTCTCATAACATGGGTATTTCTAGCTATGCTGCTGTTACTATACGAACTGCTGTTGTGAAAAACTGATATTAGTTAAATAAAGGATTTTCTTAAGTGACTCGGCAGCACTGTTTTCAGCTGCTATGTAACAAGCTGCCTCTTTGCAGGGCACCACTGAGCCCTGAACCACAATTTGAGGACCCTTAAAATGAAATCAAGTATTTTAGCTGCTAACTTCTGGATTCCATGATCTTTGGTATCATGCTTTCAGGTTAAATAGGATGAGGGCTTGCTTTAAGTTTGCTTTATCTCTGACTTACAAGAGGCTCTTTCACCATTGTTCCTGGGATTTATATCTCCTTTGCTCTGCCGCCCCTTGGTTCCCGACACATCCTCCATGCGGTAAATTTCAGACACACACAGCTTGGGATTAAACGCAAAGTACATTTTGCCTTCCTTGATGGTCAAATTGTGGTGGTTCCAGTCCCACAGCTGCTGCAGATTCTGGTTGTCCAGAACATAGAAAGAATAATTCCTACAATGAGACGTTTAAAAGCAAGTTAATTTTATCACCAGTTCATGGGCTGCTCCCATACAAAGCATCTGAGCCAGGTAAAACTTTTTTTTAAATGAAATCTCTGATTAACCACGTGAATTGAATACACCCTCTATTCATAGGATCTAGAATGAATACACCTGGAATCTCTTTGGTCCATGGGCACACATTCATTTAATGGCACGTTGACATCTGTTCCCTGATCCCAACAATAGCCCCTCCTGCCCTGCCATACATGCATGGCAGGACAAGCAATTTTGGGATGGGGGAAAATCAGATCCAAATAGCAACACTACTACTTGCCACTGCAGGAGGCGGCCAGGATCACGATCCCGGGCTCCCCCTGGACTGGCCAGTGACAGCCAGAAGCTCAGTGAACAGATGTCATGATGGGATTGGGACCCAGAATCAGCCGACTGTCAGTCTCAGCCATAGGATCACAATGGAGCCAGCTGGAGATATCAAGGCTGTCCCAGGGCTGGAGGTGTCAACCAGGCCCCGCCATACAGCTGACCTCAGGCTTCATAGTGGGGGACCTGCCATGCATTCGGTTTAAGGAATGACAGAAACCAGCAACATCATTACATCTTTTGTGAAATACTTGTGGTTGGTTTTGTGTTTTGTGGTACCATTACTAATTGCCTAAATGGCTGGAGGAGTTACTATTTAAGACGCGATCAACAAGTTAATCGTGTCTTGAGTGTAATGCCTGGCAGGGGCCTTTAGCTGACAAGGAGTACAACTGCTCTAAGTTGGCTAATGGAGTTGAAAAGGGGGTACGTATGGGTTACAGTCAAATTAAATGCATTTTGCCAAGAGGGAAAATATTTACAAGTGTGATGCAGAGCTGCACTGCGCACTAACAGCCAGTGTGTATTTTGGACACTGACTTCTTTGCAGTCAACGAACAAGAATTATCCTTGCAGCAGCCTGTGCAACATTAATGAGATGAACATGCACTATCATCAGTCATGCAAGTAAATAATTGCAAATAAGCCTTTCAGGAAAGACCCAAAGCAAAAGGCAGTTAACTTACAAAGCAGCTTCACAGCCTTAAAACCTAGTTTAAGAAATATGTAATGCCAGCCATCTTATCTTCGACCCACAACAGTGGTAATTGGTTTTTGAAACGGATACGTTTTAAAGAGACTTAACTCAATTTTCAGACAACCAAGTGACTGGAGTGGAGTACGCCCTTGCTGGTGTTTTAGACACCTGCAAACAGCCTGGGCATGAGTTGCAAGTGACTGTGGATCATACATTAAAACCATCTGCACAAGTTTGAACAGAAGTTTAAAGGCAAGGAAAACAAGTCCTAGGGGCTCATCTATGCACTGTAAGTATAAATTTGTGGAAGTTATTCTGGTATTATCCAAGGCACCAGTGAAACCACATTTGCAAAGCTGTACAGTCACAATCACAAGATAGGTAAATGTCTTGCACAGACGGTAGAGAGTGCTGCTACAGAGGGCAACTGAAGTGCGATCAGGGCTTTGGAGGTATAAGTTATAAATAAAGATTATATCAAAACTTGGCCTCCACAGCCATGGAAGAGAGTCAAGATGCCAAGGAAGATAGCATGGAAAGAATAAGAATTTCTCATTAGGAAAATGATCTGCTGTCAATCAGCTAAAAACAATATCTAAAGGCATGGAGCATTAATGTTTTTAACTGTCTACTCCAAACCCACGGTAAGTGGAAGCTAAACTGCAGCACCTTACATCCGTTCCATCCAGGGATAAGCTGCCCCCAGTTAGCTTCCACATTCAGTGGTGGGACAGGAATGAACAGATGAAATAGTTACTGCAGAACAACTCACACATGGTAAATTCCTTCTCTCTCTCTAACTCAATCCACTCCCTTAGTTTGTCCAGAGCCATATGGAAATACGGGAAGAGCTATAACTGCGCGCAGAAACACACAGTATCTTAGGGAGTTTATACACATGCTCTGAGAGAGGCTGGAGCGGGTGGGGGGCTGCTGTAATTAGAGCAGCTCTGAGAGCCGCCCTAATTTAAGTGCCCCCACACTGAAAAATGGCAGCAGGGGCACTTTAACTAAAGCTCATTCAACAAGCTTTAGTTGGAAGCGCCCCCACTGCCATTTTTCAGACAAGATGCTGGAGTCTGCAGGAGCATGGTAATTACCATACTCCAGCAGACTTGATTAAATGAGTCTGCTCTGATGTACTGTAATTACAGTGCACTGGAGAAGCCTCGCTACACATGTATAGACACGCTTAGGGCCCACATTTTGGGGCAAGACCTAAACAATCTGAACAGATATGCATCTTTCCTGAGGCATCCCCAGGGTAGTGCTACTTACTCTCTAGCTCCATGATTCTCAATAGGATGCCATCAGATCCATGAGGGTGCCATACAGTATTAGCACTTAGCTATGCTAACACCTATACATGATTCACAAGATAAACCCAACAGATTTCAAATAGGAATACGCAGTGTCAAACATATTCTGACCTGCCGTGGGCTTGCTGAGTTCTTTGCAACAGAAGAATAGCTCTGTTATTTTTCCACAGTCAAAAATGAGTGAAAGCTAATAGCTAGCATTCACCAAGGGAGGCCTGGAGTCTAGAAAGGTTAGAACTTACTGCCCTAGATGATAGGGAACCACAAGGCACACCATGCATGGGTGGCCAGGCAACTAGTATGTGTGAAGCCACTGAGGAAGGGGATTCTGTAGGAAAACACACAGCACATGATCACGTGTTTAAAAACTATCCCCATTTATCTGAACTCAGCATCAGCAAGCCAGAATAAGTCTGTATGGGCAACCTACACATTTTTTTCTTTATTTCCCAACTCCAAGGCTTGACTTACAATATCTTCTTTTCTTAATGTAGGTATTTAATGTGCATTATAGGTGACACTGGCAACAGCCACTACAGTTATGGCAGAGTAATACCTCCCTGTTTTGAATTGTTAAATCACTCTGCCAAACTAACTGTACAGACTGAACTTTTCCATGCCAGGTGTCTGTCTTAGGCTGAATATTTTTACAATGTTATTATTTCAAATCGTGGCAGTGCCCAAAAAAGTGCTTGGCCCCCAAAAAAAAAAGGAAGGGATGGTCCCTCATCCAAAAGCGCATAATAGCAATAATTCTTTAGCAGGAATCGATTTGGCTTCCTTCATGAACCCCAATTTTCTCAGCTTCACTGTTTATTGTTCCACTCTTGAATCAAAGCAATTTAATAAAGCCCAATTCATAACACTGCTGTTTCCTTTCCTATCGGTTACGCCTGCTGAGATGCAAGATTCCATAAATGCAATGGCTGCTTAAATTCACAGCTGCACTTAAAAAAAATAAATAAATAAAAAGCAAAAGACAAATTGATAACTGTACTATCTGCATGAATATACCACATCATAAGCGAGCTGAAAGAGCCTTGGGCTAGGCAAAGTGACAAGGCTCTCGGATTTCCAATTAGAAACAAAGTTTGTCCAAAGAGCCAATGTTCTTATTGAAAAAGACAGCGTGCTTTTCAAGTGCAGAATGAAGAGCTGGCCTTTAACTTGCTCTGTCAGATGGTGGAATTTTAAGAATTTAAGACTGACCAAAGAGTAGCCTGAGAAAAAGAGGGAGGTTTAGAAGAATCCCTTATATTGTAACTTTATCCTGTTGGGGAAGATAAATCAGAGGCATGCAACCTTTCCCATGACCTTCCCACCACCTTTTTCCTAAATGACTGCCCCAAATTCTTAGTTTACTAGTTTTCTTATTAGCAAGAAAGGCTCATTCCTCCTACAGTGCAGTGATTTAAACTTGGGCAACTATTTTATTTGGGGAAGAGACAGAGCACAGCAATTTCCTGGTGGAAAGTCATCCCTACCTCAGCACTGCTAACTTCACTTCTACAGAATGCAAACCTCCTTTCCTCCTCCTTTCAGTCACCTACTACTCCTGGATCTGTGGTGTACAGAAATGGCACAACACACTGTTAAAAGTATATCATAAGCTATGTTATGGAGTCAAAACAATCCAGGAAGCTGATCAGTAAACTTTTCAATAGACCAAGATTACTTTCCAGGCTCAAACTCATTGTCTAGGTTAAGAGAATTACTTTCTTCACAGTACTTTGTGGAAGGCTCATTTGTGCAGTTCCTGAATACTCAGATTAGTTCCAGGTACATGCCCTGATCTTTTAGTTAGTGAAACTGCTATTCTTCTCTAGGTGACATTTCCATAGACCTCAGTTAAGGACACAACACTAACAAATTGCAATGACAAAAGAGCAATGACTTCTGATTTCAGAATGCACTGGAGCATCAAAAGCAGAACATGTCTAGGATAAAAGCAAAAACTGCTTAGATATACAGCATCTCGCAAAGAAAATCTTTCTGCAGGAGAAAAACAGCAGCAGCGTTACCATAAATATATTTTTAATATACTCATCCAACTGCTTGCATGCTAGTGAATCAAATGAATGATGATGGTGCAATGGTAGTAAGTAGAAGACAAATACTGCACATTAGTGGAAGTGAAGGCTGTATAAATGGTACAAAAGTATTCATTAGAAGACATATTTTCCATGCCTTTCTGTTAGGCTGAAACTGCCGCTACAAATACAATCTTGCTCAGTTTGAGCACTTACCCGTCCAGCTGTTCCTCTCCCAAAATATACCGGAGATTCTTTAGGAACGATAAGGAAACCAGTGCATGTGAATGGCGAATCTTCACATACCCAGTGACCGTCTCAATCAGGCCCATGAAATTCTCCAGCTCTGAAGCAATATTATCTGCATTAACAGGAAAGAAAATGAGTGCTATTAACATATGCAATGGTACAAGTGTTACTTCACGTTTTGCTTTGCTCAGAGATTGCACAACAAAAGGAAACATTGATATTTGCTGCTTTTGTAAACAAAAATAGATTTGCCTTGCTGCAAACCAGCATATATTATTTACCTATGCAAGCAGACAGGTGGAGTACAACACTTTAGAGCTCCATTCATAACTTTTATACTGAAGTGCCTTCCTTTGCACAGATACTCCACACTTGTCCCAGACCCAAATTCTGAGCTGTCAACAGCCAGTCTCTAGGCCAAACTGAACAGACTCTTGTAAATTTAGGCATCTGTGAAACTGCCACTGCTGTTACACAAAGTGACAGAGGTAAAACCCATTAATTAGCTCAAGATGAAATGCTCTGCTGAAGAACATGGCATCAGACCAGAGACTAAGCGAAGTCAGAGAGTTATTTTACTGTCCTAAGCAAGCAACAAGGATACTGCTATTTTAACAGACCTTCAAAATAAGGAGGGGGTGGAAATCACAGAAGCCACTATCCCCATGCGAGGAACATGATGCCTACAAGAAACGCCATTATGGACAGCAGCTACAAGAATTTAAAAGCCAACTTTTAAAGGGTTAAAAGGTGAATTGAGCTTAATGGGGGGGGCAGTAAGCACAAAACATTGCCTACAGCTTGTTCACTATAGTTTGCAACAGCAAGGGCTGAGGAACTGCTGATTTATGCAGTCACTGCTCTTAAAACACTTTGGTTCCAGGTACAACATGAGCTGGCAGAACTTTGAGGACAAAACCGTAACGATACCTTCATGGAACAGGGCTGGCACCAGGTTTAGGTTGTACAAGAAGGATCACAGGGAGCACCCTCCAAAGTGGAAGAGGATACATGGACTTGGTCCCCAAGTCAGGAGACTAAAGCTAGATTAAGTTGTGGGCATGGTTCAGACTAGTGGTAGGGGTCTACCAAAAATGGGGGGGCGGACTTACCAATTTTTGCAGGTTGATCATGGTGTAAAGTTTTCATTCCACGGTCATTTTGCAGCTGTCCCAACCCCCAGCACTGATCAACAGAGAGGCCCCACCCCTTGGCACTGACTGGCAGAGAAGCCCCGGGGGAAGAAGGGGTCAGATGCCATCTTGATGGCTGGCTGCCCTTCGTGCAGCCCCGCCCTCAGCGCCTATTGGCAAAGAGAACTTGGGGGGGGGGAAGGAGCGGGGAACAGAACAAGGGGCCATCATCTTGACTTCTGCTGCCCTTCAGCACTGATTGATGGAGAAGCCCTGGAGGGGTAACAGGAATGAGGGAGCAGCTCTCACTAGGGAGCCAGAACTTTATTTTTAAGGGGTTTTTTGGTTTATTTTGTGGATTTTGCAGTTTCTGCAAAATTTGCAGAACTGCAAATTAAGCAGATTGCTAATTATTGGCAGTCAGGCAGGTAGCTAGCTGCATTAGCCTGAAGTTAGTTGGAAAGCAGGGCAGTGCAGCACTTTAGAGACTAACTTGTTCAGAGACGCGTGAGCTTTCGTAGGCTACAGGTCAGTCGATCAGATGGCATGAAACCATCTGTGACACCATAGCTATGTTATCATAGCAGCTGACAAAGTAGGCTGTGGCCTACAAAAGCTCACACCTTTTTGAACAAGTCTCTAAAAGGTGCTGCGCCACCCTGCCTTCCAGCTAACTTCAGGCTAACACAGCTACCTACCTGGCTGACTGCAGCTCATGTGAGCTGTGCACAGCTTTAGTTGCCTTAGTTGATGGACAAACTCTGTGTATCCTCTTCCACTTCAGAGAGGAAGATGCCACACTGCCCAGTCTTCTGCCTGTTGATGGTCAGTCACTTACCACTTTAAAGAGCTGGGAAAGGATATATTTTAACTTATCTTTAGTTCCCTGGGAGGATATACACTTGATCTGAGCCTTCAAGAGGCCAAGAAGCGATTTCATTCTAAACATGAAACTGACCAAAAATTGTGCTATCATACAGCGCTCAGGAGCAAAAATCTGTTACTTAGTGACCTGCATGGAGTGATTGAAGTAAAAGTTGTTCAAGGTCCTGGAAAAGACAAGACTGTCCTTGCAGATGTGAAATATAATAAGACAATCATAGTTTCATAGTTGGTAGGGTCGGAAGGCACCTGAGCAGATCATCAAGTCCGACCCCCTGCCATGGCAGGAAAAAGTACTGGGGTCAAATGACCCCAGCAAGTTGTTTGTCTAGCCTCCTCTTAAAGAGCCCCAGGGTAGGAGCCAGCACCACTTTGCTTGGAAGTTGGCTCCAGATCCTACCCACCCTGACAGTGAAGTAGCACCTCCTCAATCCACTCACTACTCTTTTTAACCCCTTGGATATAGCCATAAGTAGGAAACCTAGCACTCCACAGACTACAGTACACAGGCACAAAACTCAAGGCACTCCAACCTACACTCACCCTTGCAGGCATTTGGATGTTTATTTCAAAACAAAAAACTAATAATGGCTTTGAAGCTTGACATCTGTTGGAGCGCTCCCAACTGATGAATCACTGTTCTGACAAACCGTATCCAGAGTTCATTTCTGTTTGGACATGCCTTGGAAAGGGCCAAAACAATGAGAGCAAGAGAGGTGCAGTGCTGGATTTGACTGGTTTGGTTACTTCGCGCACAGTGGCTCAGCACCTAGATGACGTGCACCAAATGGTGTGCTGGAGAGTCCTGACGTAAGTAGGAAACTAGCAACTGCTTTAAGGACCTTGCTTTCAGTATTGGTCTTTAGAGTTCTTGTCTTTGTACTGACGTGCGCGCACACGCGCGCGCGCACACACACACGCACGCACACACACACACGCACACACTTAACAAAAGCTCCAAAAAGGAGAATACTTACTTCCACGGCGGATGTTAATAAGCAGATTCCCCTTGAGCACAGTGCACCCCTGCAACATCTGCGCTGATGTGACAGAATCAATGGTCTTTATTTTCTCCTCCTCACAGATTTTTGGGCAAGGCCCTTCACAAGGGCTGCAGAATATGCTGGTGGGAAGAAAGAGAGACCAGAAGTAAAGACTTGTGGCTTTCACAACACAAAGTTGGCTGATCTGACATTGTTTTGGAAGAGCTTCGCTATTTGCAACATCAGAAAGCACAAATTTTTCAAGCTGGGAAAAAGACTGCCTCTCCTGAAATGTGTTTCATGCTTTAGGGTTGTTGGTTGTAGCCGTGTTGATCTAAGGACATGGGTAGACAAGGTTCTTTGGGTAAATGCAGTATCTTTTATTAAACCAACTAAATAGTTATTTGCAAACTTTTGGGCACAAACACCCTTCTTCCAACATAGAGAGAGTCTGCTGGTGAACTGTGCGCTGTCCTGGATTTTGGCTTCTATTCTACCCAGGAGAGCACACAATTCACCAGCAGACTCTCTCTATGTCGGAAGAAGGGTGTTTGTGCCTGAAAGCTTGCAAACAACAATTTTTCCAACTATTTAGCTGGTCTAATAAAAGATACTGCATCTACCCAAAGAACCCTGTCTCCTGAAATATGACTGTCTCCTGATTCCATGCACCTACGACTGCATGGTGCCACCGCAGTGATCCTGGGCAGAGGCACACAGCTGTAATTACCAGAAGAGTTAAATACATCAGCAGCAGTAGAGGAAGTGATTCCCGGCATACTACCTGCAAATCAGTTTGTGAAATGCTCTGGGATCCACCTAGATGAAAAGCCTATTCAGAGCAAGTCCCGGCCCTTGCATTTTTACACTTCATGCAGCAATAAGGGCAAATCAAAGAATACAGGAGAGGTCACACTGCCCTCTCGCACATACGGGCAACACTTCACTAATAACGAGCTGAGGCTAAAGGCTTTGAAGGAACCCAATTCCCAATGAAATTCCGCAGAGGCTGGGCACCCTACTCCATTAGGCACCTTGGAAAAACTTCAGCCTTCTTCCAGTTGGGCCAGGGCTAACACTTGAAACACTGTTTTTACTTACTGTGTATTGTTCAAATTGGTAACTGTCTCGACACAAGTCTATCCACATTTTCTGGCTGAATTATAGGAAAGTAAGTTTCCCCTCAACAGAAGTTGGCAACTACTGGTAAAGAACAGCTTCTGTTCTTACGAAAGCCCACAAGAGAATCAAATAACCAGGGAAAGGACCCAAAGGGTTAAATGAATTAAAAATACTAAAATAAAACTAAAACATTTGCCTTGGTATTTTTATTGCATACTCAAAAGCACTGAGTACAAAAGTCAAGACGGGGGTGGAAGGGAAGGACAATTTGAAGTCGACCCAAATATTACTTGAGTGCAATTTTTATGGTCCTTTTGAAGGGGGGAAAAAGGGTATAATTAAACCTCTGCAGTAGATTACCACTTCATGGAAAGAAAAGCAAGCAACAGGAAAGAAAACCCGGGTTCTGGAGACAAAAGCCCTAGATCACACAGTGGTGCGCAAGGGCTTCCTGTTTATCGCCTAAAACGGTAACCAGACCCACTTTTGCTTCAGCTTCGAGAAACCAGTAATCTGATACAACAGTTGTTTTCCAGGCACAAACAATGAAAAGAAGGAGCTTCCATGACTCTGTCGTGAGCTCCCATTTCAAATGCTACACCAGAACGTGCCATTAGCCACTAAGAGCTGCAGGCACGGGCAAGAGGCACTCGAGTCAGAGTCAGTGTCAGAAGAATGTGAGCAACTCCCCACATTTGCAACTACTGGTTAAAACAGTCTCTGGGAACCTGGGGGATAAAACATTCACTGGCCTTGAGTTACAACTCTCTTTAGTCTTTGCTGCGAAGGCAGAGCTTTGATAAGATAAGCTGTCTGGCACAGTGGCTTTTATGAGAGTGTTTTTAAAGCAGAGAATAAGAGCCGCTCGGGAAGACAGCAAGGAAAAAAGTCTGGCAGGTAAATATCTGGCCCCAAGCTAGCACAGAGCTGCATTGTTTGCATCTGAATGTCAACTGGAGACTTTCCAAGGAAAGTGTTTGTCTGGATGACAATCACTCTAGGGAAGGCAGGGCAGGGTGGCACCTCTCCCTCGGAAACGGCGTAGGCTCCTACGCTCACCACACCCAACTCACCTGCCCAAATAAAGGTGAAGTCTGGATACAAACTACAAGAAGCCCAAGGAGTCCAACAGTCCTAAGAAATCTCCCTTATGCCTGAAGAAGGGTGTTTGTGCCCGAAAGCTTGCAAAGAACAATTTTTCCCAACTAGTTAGTTGGCCTGATAAAAGATGCCGCATCTACCCACAGAACGCTGTCTGCAAGAAAGTCAAAGGCTTTATAAGAACAAAGGGTTAATAGGTGGGCATCTAAAATTGTTTTCTTGGCCACTGAATAAACTAGGAAATGGGAAACACACATATCAGGCCACATTATTTTAAATTCCAAGAATTATCGATGAGTCACGGCAATTTTCACGGGAAAAAAAATGCATTCTCTACAACACCGTGAGCTGCTGTGCTGTTTTATAACTGCCTGTGCTAGCGTTCTGTTCTGAAGTGGTGCTGGTGTCTTCTAAGAGCGAAGTAAATTAAGTGAATAAATCTACAGGCAGCAACAAAGCTAGGCACTTGGCTAAAGCACACAGGCCAGAAGCAGAATACAAGCATGCACAGAACAATTAATGTGTGGGAAACAGAAATGATCTGCTCACTGGGTGGCAACACAGAGCAGAACCCCTTTCTGACTTTTTCCTGATGTTTCCACATACCTCTTCCAACCCGGCTTGGTTTTCACTGGGCAGTTTTCTAATTTCAAAATCCGGTTCCACACTGTGCCGACTGCTGGATATGAAAAGCTGTGAAAGCTTGGGCAGTGTCCCTTGCACAAAAATGCAAGACTGTGGCTGGGGCAAAACTGGGTTGTGATGACAAGACTGCCACAAGGAAATCAAACTCCGCTAATGGCTTGCAACCCATTAGGCATTGAGACAATGAGGTACCCAATGCCAGACCCATGCCATAAAATAATAAAAGTGATGGTTAAAATAGTTGGCAGAGACCTAAGACACTCATCACATGTGTATCTCCAAGCTAAGAAAGCCAGAGAAAACGTCTGAGCAAGTGAAGGCAAGCAAACTATATAGGCAGGCAAGGTACTTTGAGTAGATGTGATATCTTTTATTAGACCTGAGTAGTTGGAAAGAAGTTCTTAGCAAGCTTTTGGGTGCAGTCACCCTTCCCCAGGCATAGGGAGTCTCTGCTGGTCTGAGACTCCAAGGAATGAGAGAAGCTAAAAGTATGGTGGGGTGTCAGTGAGAATGTAAATAGGTAGAAATTAGGAAAGCAAAAAGGTAAAGCAGGGAAGGGGGGTGGGGAAGCAGGAGAAAGAAAAGCCAAAAGGTGAGTAAGGGAAACACTACAGTGATAGTAATTCAAGGTAGAAAAGAGGCTGGCTGAAAAAGGAAATGGCTGAGAATTAGGAAGAGAAAGGGCAGAAAAGTAGGGGAGGGGCGAACCAAAAAATCTCTTTGCAGTTAAGATAATGCAAGGACTAATAGCTAATTTTATATTGGGAAAGAGTCTTTTTCTGCCATTTAGTTTTGTAGCTTGTTGGTAGTTATTAAAGCAAGCCTTCCCGCTATTCATCAACTGAGTGTTGTGTCAATTCTAAGAGCACTCAGTTTAAAAACCCGTTTTTAAGCGCAACACCGAGTTCTCTGAATTCACCTGAAATGTGAACTGAAAATGCTCAGCACCAGGCAGGACTATGCCTTTGGAGATGGGTAACTTGGTCTGAGCAGAGTCCTTCTCTTGTCATACTGCCACAGGATAACCACACACACACACACACACACACACACACACCACACACACACACTTACCTTTGGCTCCCATTGCGTATGAATCCAGAGGGACACTCTGCCATGCACTCGTCATTGTGGATCACAAACCTCTCGTATTCACTTAGCTCTGAGGTAGGGACTTCGGCGCACTCTTCTTTGGTGACGCAGCGCCAGCCTTCGAACTTGTAGGTGTTGGGGGGGCAAACAGGCACGCAGACTCCGTTGCTGAAGTAATTGCGGCAGGCCACGCAAGCCGTGTTGTTGTCGGGCACGGTGCAGCTTCCCAAGCACTCCGGGTGGCAACATTCGTTCTGGTCTGTGCAGGCTCGCTTGCCACAAGAGCTGGGGCACACTGCAAAGAGAGAGCACAAGGCAAGGGCTGAGCCAACATCATTTAAAAAGCAGCAATGTAAATATGGTCTAAGCACATATTCCACTGGGCCTAGAAATTAAAATACAAGTAAGGAAAATAATGAGGAAAAACTGTTGAAAGCGAGGCCAATGCATGGATAATGGAAACAAGTGAAGACTGGAAACCACTTGATAGCCCTGATATTCTTCTGAGTACTGGCTTACTGTCTTTGAGAGCTTTTTTCTTTTTTTTTTCCCTCCCTGGTCTTTCCAATTTGTATTTCAAATTGGTCTTTTACTGGCAACTAAACCAGCCTCCTTTAAAACAACTTAATTGCACTTGTGCAATAAAGCCTTACTATACTGCAACACACATGGTTAGGCTAACCCCAACATAGCATCCCAATGTCACTTTTGTAGGCAAAATGAGATGTAATAAAGTGCAGATGCTACACATGAGATACTATGCAATGGGAGTTATGATTCCTCCCCCTCCTGAAGGGTGTCATGCATTTCAGCCTTCCCCCAAAGGGTGAATCACGCTTGTTCACATATCACACTTGTGACAAGAAAAGCATATTTATTTAAGCTCCAGAGTTTGGAGGTGTGGACATTTGAGCGTGGGGGGGGAAATGAACAACAAGCAGGGCCTTAATAGACAATCTTACTATTGTTACATCAAAAGAAGTGGCGGCATTTATATTTACGTAACAACATTTTGATTACAGCACTGTATGGCCTTTTAGCCATGCTAGCTGTATGCCAGAGGCTCTGTAAATAAACACAGATAGGAAATCTGGTTTTCATTAGGTAACTGTTTTCCACTTTCTAACTTGACTAGAAAACAGTACCAATACCAACAGCATAAAACAACACTTCAGGATTAGAGGCCAAGGAAAGTAACGCCTACCTGACTAGAAAGCAGTTAACATCCTAAAGCAAAAGAGGCTACATGTCCCCAAACAACCGACAAGGAGAAAAACCGCCAAGACAGCACAGCAGATTCTACGCCAGCCTGCACATTTTCTCCCTGCTCCCACCCAATCTGCTACATAATCTGCTAGGCTGTTGTTCAAAAAGAGAGAAAGGGACCCATAGCATGAGAGTGCAGAACAATCTCTTTCACCCCACCCACAGCACAGCCTGCAAAATGGTACCTGCAAAATTCCACCGTCAAAGTGAACTTGTTTCAATGCGTATGAAAAGGTTCAAATCCGCGAGCTTTTGATCAAGCTGTTTCAAGGTAACTGACCAAATTCTTTGATTTCATCAACCTTGGGACAGGGTTCCACGTTTTCATATGCCCATCATATGCACCTTCTACAACACAACCCCAAGCATGCTAGAGAAGGTGGGCATGGCTAGGATATTAATATTAAGCAATTCAAAACAAAAATTTGCTTGACGTAACCACCCATAGTTTGTAAGATCTACACGCTCCAATGCCGAGTCTCAGTCATGGGAAGCCATTAGCTAACAGCTTCGAAGTGCCAGGCTAATTCAGACTATTTACTTAAATCCAAGATGAGGTTTTTTCCCCTCTCTTCTGTCAACAAGAAAGAAAACAAGCATCATCTCAGATTTGAGTACCAGTGCTCCTGCTCTGTCCCAGCTCCAATTTCAGGTCAGAGCCAGAGATGCTGGAGTTGTTCCTGCTGCCACCACCACCAGCAGCAATCTGGTAAGTGTGGGTTCAAAGGCCAAGGCTAGGGCCCAGAATGGGCAGCAGCCCGAGTCAGGAATGGGTGGAGGAAATGGTTAACAGTGCAGGTCAGGGTTCAGGTGGGGGATAAGGAACAGCTGTGCAAGTGGGGAATGGGGCAGCAATGTGGGTGGGGGGTTGGGCAGCAGCCAGGGGTAGGGACCAGGTGAGGGGACAGGCTACAGAAGGCACAAGCAGAGGGATGGGGAGAGCAAAGTATGAGGGTCAGGCTGCCTGACTTCTCCCCACCCCCTCTCTGATTGGGGACAAATTTAAGATGACCCTTCAATAATTACCTCCTATATACAGAAAATTATAAAATAAATGTATAATGTTCTATGTATTGAATCAGAGGGGGGGCAGGGGGAGGTCCATCTGAAATACTAAGTTGGCTTGGATTCGGGTAAATATGGTGCATCTGTAGAACTAGCATCAGAGAGGTTCCATGTTTACTGATCACAGTGGTTTTACATCAAATATGCTCCGGTTTACAAGATTTTTGACTACCAACCCCACAAATTCAAATCTGGGATCCAAGTGCCATGCGGGAGACTTTCTCCCTTGCACACTACCACCAGGAAGAACGCTTGTACAAGGCGAGTTCTCTCTGTAATTAGTACAAGTGCAATCCCAGTCTTGCATATTGACTCTTGTATGTCACTAATGGAGCAAGAACTTATCTGACTCGCAACGCAGGCAGACAGGACCAAACTCCTGCCAATATCAATGCCGTTGCATGAAAAGGTGGCGAGAGAAATATCACTTTTCAGAGTCAAAACCAACCAGGAATAATACAAACAAGAGGAAGGAAAACCATTTGAAGAGAAGTGCTGACAGACCCGTCAGTAAAGCAGTGCTGGTAAGGCCCACATAAATGTTGCACAAAGATGACTAACGTATACACAAAGAAAGTGTTCTTTAAAACCGTATTTTCATTCTACTCCAAACACAACCTTAAAGAACTGTAACAGTTGTACATGCATTATCTGTCCCCAAACCAAAAACACCATCCCTGATCCTTCTTCAAGACAAGAGAGAAGAAGAGCCCAACATTGAAAGATCATGCAAAGCCTTTAAAAAAAATGCCAATGTCTTTGATAAAGCAAAACCGAGAAAAATATAGCACATACTTATTGATCAGTGGTATTACAATTTACCCCAGGACAAATGAGTAAAGTGCCTCACTCAGCATCATAAGGGTGCCTAGATGCTGGCCTTGCTAGACGGCTGTAAACTCAGGCTCATCTTAACGTATATAAATATTATTAGTGTTCAGGACTATTAAGGGATTTCTTGAAAAACCCTGGGCAGCGCGTCTCGCCAGCAGATGGATTGCTGTTCCGGGTGAGTGCCAAACTTAGATTTAGTATGGTAACTAGATTTCCAGTTCACAACCCTACTAAGAAAAAAAATGCCCCGTTGCCTCCATGAGCAAAGTTCACTGCTAGATTAATTACAGCAACTTTCTGTGATTTTTGCTTTTAATTGGACAGACATTTCCAAAAAACAAGAGGCAGCTGCACAAATAGTACAGATAAATATAGCACAAAAAGATCCAATTTATTTCACTCCTGGGGAAAGACCTTTATGTTTCCTCAAGCCCTCGGCTAGTCGTGAACAATCTAGCACAGGAATAGTCTTCCCTCACGTTGTGTGGTGAACTCTGCCTCTGAGCTACAAAAAAAAAAAAAAAAAAGCAAGCTGAACCATGGAGGACACAGAACTTAACATGCGGACGTTGGTATTTTGTAAATGTTGAAAAAAATTAGCAGTTTTAACAAAAGCTCTTCTAAAACAGTTACTCATTTAAACGTAGCACGAAGAATTTCTCTTTTTGACAGCTCAGAAGCTTCACTTCTCCACCTAATTTGTCATTATGGTCCTTTAACAAATTTCACTGCACTTTGCAACAATTTAAGGGGACAACTGCGATACCCATTTTCTTTAAAAGGTTGAAAAAACAAAGCTGCCTGTGTGCCTGTCCTGTATATACCAACCAATCTAAAATTTGCTTTTACTCTTACCATTCCTCTCAACAAAGTCCCACCTAGCATTTATATTGAGATTTAGAGCCTACAAAGGGAAAATTTTCCTTTCCCTAATTTCAGAGGGAAGCTGAGCAACACTAACTGGGGAGAGGAGAAATAGACAGAAAAATGTGAATGAAAATTCAGAGCTTGTAAAGATGCACTAAACATCCAAAAAGCTACTATTCTAAAAATGACAACCTGGGCTAAAATTCCCAAAGCAGAAATAAAAGGGAGCTATGAAAAGGCAACGTAGAGATACATTTTAAAATGAGAGATGATTAATATAAACTAGTATAAATCAGAGATTATTAAATGTAGAAAATTGATAAAGGAAGCTAAAGACATCAAGGAACAAAATCCATGGCTGACAAACTAACAGATAATTCGTAGTTTAAGATTATTAGAAAAACTAAAAATTGTAGCAATGTTATAGATGCACTTTTAGCTGGAGAAGATAAAAAATTGTTAACAATGCCAAAAAGGGAGAAGTGCTCAATGATATTTTTGTTTTGTACTAGGAAGCAGCAACAGGATGTACTCTTTCACATGATTAGAAACAAGCATTTTCCAGTTTGTTAATAAGCAAGAAGAAGGCTAAACACAACAGCTATGAGGAACAAATATTTTTTAAATGGGCATTTCTGGGCATCTACAAGAAATATAAATGCCGACCTGCAGATACTAATTTTTAATAAGTGTCTGAATAGCAAGGAAATTCCACAAGGGTGCCAATAAAGTGCTGATATCCAAGAAGGTGCAAAATGACAACCAGAATAACTCATGGGTGGTTAATTTAACATGAATCCCAGGCAAAATAAAAGGAAAGCTGATATGGATTAATTTGATAAAGAACCAAAGGACAGGAGCACTACAATTTCTTTTTGTTTGTTTAAACATAGATAACGGGGCTTTCCAGAACTATCTGACTTTATTCTTTGATGAGACCACACGTTTGTCTGATAAAAGGTAACTGCACAAATATAAGGCACTTCAGTTCTTATGAGATTTTTGACTTGGTATATGGCAATATTTGGATTAAGATATGTCACTATACAGTACCAATAAAGAGGAAACCTGGAAAACTGGAGAGAAGGCAAAAAAGGGCCAAAAATAGCTGGGGAAACATTGCGAGGGAGATGCACTTAAAGAACTCAACCTGTTTAGCTCATCAAAAAGATGGAAAGGTGACTTGGAAGATGGTTGTACACTGTAATCAAGGGGGAATACTGGATATACAAGAGGCCTTTCCTCTTGTAAGAACCAATGACT